GGTTATTTCCGAGTTAAAAGTTCCCCTGATACGTTGGCTTCACCGCACGAATGGTCAAAAACAGTCGAAAAAGTTGAGGCCCTTATCACCCCCCCCCCCCCCCCCGATAAGGCTGAAGTTTTGTCCGACGTATGTCACGCCTTGCAGCGATGCGCCATCTATGCGCACTTTCCGAGTTGAAAGTTTCCCTGGCACGTTGGCTTCACCGCACGAATGGCCAAAAACAGTAAAAAAAATTAATTCCTTATCACCCCCGATAAGGCTAAACTTTTGTCTGACGTCACACCTTCAGCGACGGGTGTGCTACGCGTTATTTCAGAGTTGAAAGTTCCCCTGGTACGTTGGGTTCACCACACGAATGGCCAAAAAGCGGTCAAAAAAGTTTAGCCTCTTATCACCCCTGATAAGGGTAAACTTATTTTCTGGCATCGCAATTTGCAACGATGCGCCATCTATGTGCACTTTCTGAGTTAAAAGTACCCCTGGTACGTTGGCTTCACTGCACGAATGGCCAAAAACAGTAAAAAAAATTAATTCCTTATCACCCCCGATAAGGCTAAACTTTTGTCTGACGTCACACCTTCAGCGACGGGTGTGCTACGCGTTATTTCAGAGTTGAAACTTCCCCTGGTACGTTGGCTTCACCGCACGAATGGCCAGAAACGTCGAAAAAGTTTCGCCCCTTATCACCCCCGATAAGGCTCAACATTTGTCTGACGTCACACCTTGCAGCGATGCGCCATCCATGCGCACTTTGCAAGTTAAAAGTTCCCCTGGTACGTTGGCTTCCCCGCGCGAATGGCCAAAAACAGTAAAAAATATTAATTTCTTATCACCACCGATAAGGCTGAACTTTTGTCTGACGTCACACCTTCAGCGCCGGGTGTACTACGCGTCATTTCAGAGTTGAAACTTCCCCTGGTACGTTGGCTTCACCGCACGAATGGCGAAAAAACGGTCGAAAAAAGTTTAGCCCCTTATCACCCCCGATAAGGCTCAACATTTGTCTGACGTCACACCTTGCAGCGATGCGCCATCCATGCGCACTTTCCAAGTTAAAAGTTCCCCTGGTACGTTGGCTTCACCGCGCGAATGGCCAAAAACAGTAAAAAAAAATTAATTCCTTATCACCCCCGATAAGGCTAAACTTTTGTCTGACGTCACACCTTCAGCGACGGGTGTGCTACGCGTTATTCAGAGTTAAACACTTTCTCTGGTACGTTGGCTTCACCACACGAATGGCCAAAAAAACGGTCGAAAAAGTTTCGCCCCTTATCACCCCCGATAAGGCTCAACATTTGTCTGACGTCACACCTTGCAGCGATGCGCCATCCATGCGCACTTTGCAAGTTAAAAGTTCCCCTGGTACGTTGGCTTCCCCGCGCGAATGGCCAAAAACAGTAAAAAATATTAATTTCTTATCACCACCGATAAGGCTGAACTTTTGTCTGACGTCACACCTTCAGCGCCGGGTGTACTACGCGTCATTTCAGAGTTGAAACTTCCCCTGGTACGTTGGCTTCACCGCACGAATGGCGAAAAAACGGTCGAAAAAAGTTTAGCCCCTTATCACCCCCGATAAGGCTCAACATTTGTCTGACGTCACACCTTGCAGCGATGCGCCATCCATGCGCACTTTCCAAGTTAAAAGTTCCCCTGGTACGTTGGCTTCACCGCGCGAATGGCCAAAAACAGTAAAAAAAATTAATTCCTTATCACCCCCGATAAGGCTAAACTTTTGTCTGACGTCACACCTTCAGCGACGGGTGTGCTACGCGTTATTCAGAGTTAAACACTTTCTCTGGTACGTTGGCTTCACCACACGAATGGCCAAAAAAACGGTCGAAAAAGTTTAGCCCCTTATCGCCCCCGATAAGGCTCAACATTTGTCTGACGTCACACCTTACAACGATGGGTATGCTACCTGTTTTTTCCCGAGCTAAATGTTGCTCAGATGCGTCGGGGTCACCGCAATATATGCCCAAAAGCAGTCGGAAAAATTGAGGCCCCTACTGGGCCGCAATTATATAGGGGTAGAGGGGGGCCAGGAGGGCAGATGTGCTAAGCTGTTTTGACCCCCCCCCCCCTTCTCCCCAAACTATTCGTAGTTTAACCTTTCACGAAACAGTAAAGTATTCACACGCCTTCACAGGGTCCGCAGAAAAGTTAGCCGTCATAAGGAAGTTTTTCAAGATCTCCTTTACTACGAAATTGTGGAGAGGTGCTCGACCAGTTGACCACCACAGAGCACTAATTAAGATAACATAACACATTATGCAAATTTTATTTCAGCAACTTGCAGCAACCACAATTTATTTTTGGAACAAACAATGCAAACGATGGCAACACATAATCGTGATATCTTGGTGTTACAGCTCTTCAGTCACATCGATGAACGACATCCAAACCCGCATGGTCTTCCAGCTCAGGCCTGTGCCTTTCGGGTGGGCAACACAATGTCTATCCTGCTGCTAGGCCGTACTCTCATCAACAAGGATAAGGCTAAACGAAGAAAAAGGAAGACTTCCATCGGAACCCTGACAACCGAACCCAGTCCGTCATGACCCTAAGGCGGGCGCCTGAACCAATGAGCTAAGCACTGGCACTTACACGGCTCGAATACAATTGAACCATATAAATAATGCGTCGTACCAAAAAAAAAAAAAAAAAACCCTTACACCTGTGGCTTCGCTAAAGGAGCGGCGGTGTTGACGCTGGCGCTCATCACGGCTTTGCGCAGGAGATAAACCTGGGAAGGCGCAAAGCCCGCAGTGATGGACCGGTGTTTCCTACAGGAACATGGCAATTGCTGTTAACGGGGAATAAGAGACGGAAGATTCTGATTGGACACAGACATCCGCAGCCCGCTTTTAGTTAACGCGCACGCTGCGAATTTTTATTGCTCAACAATGCACAGGAAAAAGTACCCACCGGGACTACCTTAGCGGTCAAGATCTACGGGGTGGCCAGTGAATCGGGAAATTAACTCGCTAGCAATCTTTGCCTACGTCGGCGTTGCGAGTGGAGAGAGGGGACGTGCATGCGCAGTGGGGTAGTAAACGCCACGGGAAGGAATTCTTAGAGGAAAGCGGGGAGAGGGTAGCGAGCGTAGGCTAGCAGACACTGCCTGCGTCGGCATTGTGAGGCCAGAGAGGAGAGAATCAGAGCTTTGAGAGAGAGAGAAGGGTACGCGCATGTGCAACAAGGGGGGTCACGTCGCCGGCCAGCTTGAACTCGATCTTAAGATGACCCACATCTAAAAATAGAAAAAAAAAATCACCAAAGCTTGACTAGCACTATGCCGCGCAAGTCTTGAAACAGCGAAACTGGGCCATTTTGAAGACTAATCAGGTCATTTCCAGGTTGGTTCGAGGTTGCCTTTAGGTCGTTGCCAACATTGCTTCAGATGGGTGATGATTATAATTGCTGGGGTTTAAGGTCTCTAAACCAGGATATTATCATGCGACACACCATAGTGGAGAGCTCCGGAAATTTCAACCACCTGGGGTTCTTTAACGTGCACCTAAGTCTAACGGGCCTCAAGCATTTTCGCCTCTATTGAAAATGCGGGCCCCGTGCCCGAGGTCCGGTCCCGCATCTTTCTGGTCAGCCATCGATTCAGGCAGGTGATGCTAGGCTTTTCTCTGTGGATTCACAGTGTAATGAGGAAACCACAGACAGACACGACGCAGGCACGTCGTCGTTGGCCTTTTATCGCTTTGGGGTCTTCTCTGGGCTGCAGTTGCTCTTCCAGTTTCTTAGTAAAGAACACTAGACAGTTATCAGACAGTTAGAGCGTAGCGCGATCAAAATGCGCATACGCAGTACCCCCCCGAGACCCGTAGCGTGTACCGCAAACACGCTATTTTTCAGACTTAGCGTTACCGTGTTCGCAACGTCTAGATAGCCTTTGTAAAGTATGGCCGTGGTTTCGGACACCCACTTCGGAATTAATAGAGCTTCACGTAGCCTAGCTTCCCATTTCAAACACTCCCAGGCCTAACTAGACCGGTATAAACGAATCTGCTACATAAAATGTTGTTCTTTTGGTGCACGCTTCATATTTACGTATTTACGTTTATTATTACTACACAAAGTAGTAATATTGCTGCACGAAGACACAGGCAAGCATTCCCCCCCCCCCCCCCCTTTTTTTAATCTTCACAATGCATTTACCCTCCGCTAAATCAAGCCACTGTCCCAGATTGGACAGGTAAACGCTACCCCAGTAAACTTCAATGCGCTGACCGCAACTAAGTTTGCCTGCACGGTAATGCTATTCCATTAACAACTGTCATCACGCTAACACTTAGCTATAACAATCTAATTTGTCTGTATTGTATACTTCATAACGTTACTGTGCGACCGAAATACTGGATTGCATTTATCCTGTTACAGGAACTTATGCTTTAGAAAAGTTTAAGCTCCCCATATATAAAGGCTTACGTAAGTACGTAAACATATATCTTTACGTCAGCACAAACCACTAAATGATGATGAATGCATTTGAACTACATCTAATTCAGATAAGACCGAATCACCAGTACAGCAAAATCATGAGAGAGGTTTTTAGTGTGTTAAGTGGAGGTTAAAAAATACTGGGTTACTGGACGATCATGCCGCCATCTTGTGATGCACCCTGTAACCACTGTCAGGAACACATTTGTATTCGTATGATGCAGGACGAGGAACTATTATTTCGCGCTTTTTTCAAACACCAATTTTAACTACCTCGCCCAACCGTCCCTGCTAATTTAGTAGTGTACTGTAGAAAAGGGAGCGTGAAAGAGATACGAGGTTTAAGGTGGAGGAAAAGGAGAGAGTAAAGTATGCACAGAAAGAATGAGAACTATAGAGAATTGTAGAAAGAAAAAGAGAGAGACACAACACCAAGGAATAGTTATGACGGTCGCATTTCGTTGGAGGCGAAATTATAATTTCGCCCGTGCACGTTAAGGAACACCAGGTGGCCGAAACTTCCGGAGCACTCTACTAAGGCATCTCTCAAAATCACATTGTTGTTTCGGGACATTAAATACCAAATATCATTATTTTAGACAAAATCTCCACATGAAGTTTCCAACAACTACCACTTGGCATTGTGCAAAGCATAGCATCCTTTCCTTTAGGTGTCAAAATGTTGCGTACTGACTTACCTGATGCGGAAAAATCATCGTGCGACCGACCGGCAGAAGTGATCGCACGTACTCTGAAGCAATAAAAAGGGCCTAGCACTAAAAATGCACGAGAATTCCATGCACAAACCTACAGCTCTGTTGCACAGTGCTGTGGCAGTGTGAGCCGCGCTATTTTATGTGGCATTTCAGAAGTTCATAAAATGTAAAATGCTACACTTCGAGACCAATGCGCCTATTTTGCCATAAACTGGAGGACAAAAACCTCAACAGAACCAGCAGGGATGCTAAATACAAATATTTAAATATTCTTAAGATCAGACACATTCCAGTTATTCTGTAGCTTGTGTTTACCTGTAAAGATTCATCTTTACTAATCCTGGAACCTACTTTTACTTTTACATTCAGCTGTGTATGCTTAATTAAGTATTACCTTGTTCAGTTCATAGCAATGTGCCCTTAGCCAATATCCGCAGGGCTGCCTGAATAAATAGGTAAAATTTGTGAGACCGCTAACGCCCACACCCGAAGCTCCAAAATAAGTCAGTGCCTCTGACAACCAAAATCTACACTTGGCCAACAAGACAGTTTTACAAAATTCCCACAGTGCCAGCCTGATGATCTCTGTTGGGAGTGCAGAATGACACACCAGTGTGCCATTCTCTTCTCTCTGGAGATATCATAAACTATATAACAATCCTTCTAGCAACATAACAACCTTTCTAAAACACTTTAATGAGTGAACCTCCAAGTGATGCTTAGCGTCAAAAAATGACGAAAATTTTGTTACGGATAGCACAAGATCTGTTGTTCTTCACTGTGAGGACTAGGAGCAGTCGTAAGGAGGCATTTGTTTCGATGGCCCAATTGCATAGACTGCGCACCACAGAGAAGACGGGACTGTAGCAGCCGATCTGTTCTTTGCAAGGCTACTATGTAGCCAGCACAAGTTTTCTTGAAGTTCTTTTTTTTCCCACAGGAAAGAATTCAGGTACAGTTCTGCCACCTCACTAAGTTCAGAAGCGCCGCGCACAGGTCACAAAATGTTCGTGTTGCAAGAAGGCAAAGGCCAGTTCTTCATGAGCAGAGGCCATCAGAGTTCTTGCGCGAAAGATGCTCCCCTGTGACACATCCAGCCAACTCCGGATGGCATACACAAAGCACAAACTTGCGGTTCTTCCAGTCCAAGACGAGAACCAAAAGATGCGGTGTTGATGAAGAAAAGATGTCGGTCACACATCGCTGTTGACACCACTCATGTTGATGATGCTGGGGTCGAAGGGCTGCCCCTTGAACGGTGACCCGTCTTTGTCCCAAGCTTCGCGGAGAAGGTTCTCCACTTTCTGGAAAGAGACGGCACGCACAATTCGGCTTTCAGCAAAGGCGGGCGACAGAGGAAGGTTGCTGCATTCGTGCAAACAGATACATTTCAGCCTGCCCTTGTTTAGAGAATGTGTTGTGCCCAGGGCTCACGACTGGAATGCAATAATTTAAAGCTAAGTAACACACATACACTCTACACAAACACTGCGTTTGCAACGTATGACAACGCAACATGCAGTTGTCTCTCGTGAAATGAAACCTAAAGAGACATGTTTTGTTTACTGAGAGATGAGCAGGGTTGCAGGCTTCAAATATGAATTAGAGGCAGTTGTACCATTTCAAGGCAAGGTTCTACTCTCAAGAAAGCTTCTGTAGCCTGGGGAAATGAACTTTCTGCTAATATAATTGGCTTTTATGCTGATTTAAAATATCTAATCAGTTTTATAGTTAAATTGCATAGTTCTCGTAGCATATCATGACAATGTGTAAGACATAGCTCCCTCTGGACACATTTTTTCTGCCCCAAAACTTTTATAGTTATGTGCCATTATTGGCTCATATTTCTACACATTAACTGCAGAATGCGAATAACTAACAAGAAAATTTACTTATGGTGTTTTACAGTGAGGGAAGCGACTTTTTACTTTTTGGAGCATACTTTAGAGCAGGAGAAGTACTGTTTTGGAGCCGCTACAGCAGTTTTCCTTTCCACAGACCCCCAAAAAATGTATTAGAACAGAACTTACTGTACACCGGTCCGTACGTGCAACACAAATGAGAGAACTTTAACTTAGTACAGTTATACGCTGGGCTAGTTGGTGTTGCGTTATTAACGAGGCTGAATCGCTAAAAGGTAAGCCGTGGACTACGATCGACTAACAGCAGCCGCTCAAGTGTTTTCGGAGCAAAAAAAAAATGCTAGTTTAGAGAAGCTATTGACATTTTAAGAGCAGATATTAAGTTTGCCATACATTAATAGGAATTCAGAGCATTGTTCAAGCATGTCATAATATTAATATTTTTTAAGTAAGGAAACAATGAAAAGTTGTCAAAAATATGCTGTGAAATGAGCTACAACCGGAATATAGGTCGAATTTTTTTTTTCAATCAAACCCAATGAAAAGTCAATCTTAGTCTTATACACTGGTCATTGGCCCAAAAAGTTTCGCAACAATGAGCAGCTGAATTCGAATGCCTGCATTGCCATAGTGAGCATGAGCAACGGCGCCATTAGGCAAGGCCCACAGTGTTCTAGCAATGCCATTTTGCCTCAGTTATCTGCTGTCAGCCTGCAGTTTTATTTTTTCTATTTCCTTTAGAAATGAGTGGTAGTCGACGGCAGTTTATGATAGACTTTAAGAAAAAAGTCGTTGAGAATGCCGAAGTGCATGGCAACGTGGCGGCACAACGGGAATCCGGTGCATCGGAGAAAAGCACCCGATACTGGAGGAGCCAAAAGAAGCACATCACAGCTTACAGCAACCAAAAAAAAAAAAAAAAAGACCATCAATTTGTGGACAGGTTGCAGTGCACCTTGAACTGGAAACTCTACTCGCCGAATTCGTCCGGGAGCTGCATACAAGGTCGCTACCTGTAGAAGCGGAATGCATCCGTGTGAAAGCTCTCAAAACAGCGCGCGACCCCGGGCTCACGAGGGTGCAATTCAAGGGATCGCCATCTTGGGTGTGAGGATTTATGAAGCAGAAGGGCTTTTCACTGAGGCCGCATGATTCCATCTTTCTGCAAATGCTGCATCAGTAACACATTTGATGAAATGAAGGACGATGCACTCTTGAACGTTACTTGTGAAAAACAGATGTCGTGGGACTCAAGTTCGGACGAGTCTTAGTGACAGCACTTTGGGGCCTTCTGGTGTTTTAACTACACAAGATTAGTGTAAAAATACAAAAAAACGTTACCAGAGTGCAGGTGGTTGTGTCACGTATTTACCGAGGTAAGGGTGCGCAGCGATACTTTGCAATTTTTAAAAATTTCTTTCTCGGAGATTCAAAGTTTGGGGGGTCGACCTATGTTCCGGTCCAACCTATATTTTGGTTTCTACTGCAGTTCTAGCCTTGAATTTGTAGCACGCGTGGATGCTTGTTCATGTTATACCAAAGTGTTACACAGCTACAGCAGTTTTCCTTTCCACAGACCCCCAAAAAATGTATTAGAACAGACTTACTGTACACCGGTCCGTACGTGCAACACAAATGAGAGAACTTTAACTTAGTACAGTTATACGCTGGGCTAGTTGGTGTTGCGTTATTAACGAGGCTGAATCGCTAAAAGGTAAGCCGTGGACTACGATGGAATAACAGCAGCCGCTCACTTTCAACTAACGCTCATCGCAAAAAACACAAAAATATATACTTGATGGGAACAGCGGTGGCAAAGGCCAGGATCAACATGCGCAATGACTAACGATAGCGTAACTTTCAAAACAAAAAACAAGAAAAAAACAATAAAATTCCTCCTAATTTAGCAAGGTTAGAGACAAAAGGTGATATCATGGCAGCCACTTTATGCACAAACGATGCTTTAAAACGAAACGAAACGAACAAATTTAAGTCAGTGCCATGAGAGAATAGCAGGGCTGGCAAGCAAGCGCTACTCCTTAGCAAACGCGTTTATAGTTTTTTCATGCTTCTTGATCTTCTACAATTGTTTCTTTATCTATATGTCTTCTTTATCTCTCTCTATAATGCCTGACGATAGTTATAGCGCGAGAACAAAACGACGACACAGAGACAAGAAGGACACGAAAGACACGAAGGACACGAAAGTCCTTCTTGTTTCTGTGTCGTCGTTTTGTTCTCGCGCTATAACTATCGTCAGGCTATACCAACTAGCCCAAGCTGCCACACTTCTATAATGCCCTTTCCCCTCCCTTATCTCATTCCCACCCTAACTCTCCTCTCCAACCACCTCCTTGCTATACAATGCAATGCATGGCTGCGCTTTGTCAGGAGCTGCTTGCCAAATACCCGCTTTCTGCAGCATATACCTGTTTTATGCTGGACACACCAACTGGCGTAACAAAAGGATTAAACAGCTAAGCTGTTAAAGGACCCCCGACACCAAACTTGGAAACTCGAGATGCTTTTGTTGTTAGATAGTCCTGCACGTGGGACCACCCTTGACCGATTATTTGTGGAAGGCGTAGCCTAAAAGGTATTTTAATTTGGTTTTAAAGTAAGGGAGCGTGCTCTTATGAGTGTTCAGGTGCAATCGACATCTTCTGTGGTTCGACGTAAACCAATACTCCCTTCGTGATGCTGCAGGGTCAACATTTTCAGGGCGGGCACAATATCCCGACTGGCACCCGACGAGGACTATTGTTGGTCACCTCTCTCGCTCTGTTGTCGGGCTACTCTCAAAGTGGTTTTCGCTGCTTACGCCAGGAATGCTCTGCTTTTTTTTCAAGGGGACACGCTCAAAGCACCCACATCGTTTCATTCTTCACAACACGCAGGTCGCTTTACTTGAAAATGGTCTCAGGCGCTGCTACTATGGGGCACTAGTTTATTACGGTATTTAGGCAGGCGTTTCAAACTGACGTAAGGTCGTTCTTAATTAATGCTGCTAACATTAACTATATGTCATGTTAAGGGGAGATGCGAGTCGAAAAATCGCGTTTTTAGCGAAATTTCTCGTATTTCTGATTTTTATTGCATTGTAATCTTCAAACCTTCTTCTTTCATCTGTGAAAATTTCAAAACTAAATTCGAACCGCAAAATGCAAAAAAAATGTGTATGAAGGCATCGCCGTGGCTCAAAATTTCATGAATTTGCACCGATATTGGCCATATTTGACTGCGCGCTGCTCCCCGTCGCAGTGCCGCCCGCGATCGCGATCGGTTGGGAAAGTTGCGTCTGGCCTTCTTACAGCTCCGACGACCGCCAGTTTCGTACGTGGGCAAAAAAAAAAATAAAAAACGAGGCCTTTTTATCACCTGGTTTGAGCGGTTTGAAACGCCCGGCACCCTAAGCCGCATCGCCATTGGCTACCGAGTCATTGTCAGCTGTGTTGGTGGCGGCCATCGGCATTTGGTCCGTCTGCTTTTCTGCGCGTCTATGCATATTTCCGCGATGACAAGCCCGAAAAAGTGCAACGTGAGACCGCACAAGTTTCGAACGAAGCACAAGTTCAAGGGAAGGCGGCGTAAAGCGCCCCGAACGACGGCGACGAACGAGAACGCGCCTACGTGTGCTAGGCCTGACGGCGGCATCGACGAGTGCGCGAGCGACAGTGGCTGCGATGAAGGGATTGACGCTGCGCTTTCTTTCGTCAGTGCTTCAGAAAAAAAGCTCGGCTTCTTCGAAAAAGACGAAAGACAGCGCGATGAGGTTTGCGCAACGACAGTTTTGTGCGACACCCTCTTGCTGACTGCACTTGTGGCAGGTGCGGCAAGCCCTGCTTGCGGTATACAAAAACTTGCCGTTCGGGAGCCGGCAGAAAAGCGCAAGGAACTTTCGTCGCTCCTCAAACTTCATTGCGAAAACAGCGAATGCTCAGCGACTGTTCTTTCGTGCTCCTATACGTCACTGCGTGTTACGGCGGACGGCAGCAGCCGAGTGAGCCAACGGTACGACAGTGGGAGCTCCCGAGATAGTTTCGCTGTAAATGTGAAGGCGGTGGTGGCTGCACGCGCTGTCGGCATTGGGTATGAGCAATTGTCGAGATTTTGCTCCATTATTGGACTCCCAAAGCCAACGCACCACCGAGGATTTTTTTCGATAGCAAAAAAGGTGCACACCGCTGCCATGGCAGCTGTGAGTGAAAACTTGCGCCGATCCAGAGAGTTGACGAAAGAAGTAGCAGGCGAAACTGATGTGGCTGTTATGTTCGACGGCACTTGGCAGAAGAGGGGCCACAAAAGCCACAACGGGATTGGCGCAGTTATCTCCTTAGATACTGGCCTCTGCTTAGTCTTCGAGGTCATATCAAATTACTGCCTGACATGCAGTAGGCACAAGAATATGGGCCCAGACGAGGAAGTGTGGCAGGCATTCCATGGCCCAGTCTGTGAAAAAAATGTAGACTGTTCCTCCCATGCCATGGAAACGGAGGCTGCAATGTGCATTTGGCAGAGAACATTGACTTATGACACACCACTGCATTTCATGACATTCTTGAGTGACGGTGACAGCAAAGCATATAGTGCAGTTGCAGAGTCAAAAGTCTATGGTGCTGTCAATATAGAAAAAGAAGACTGCACTAATCATGTGGCCAAGAGACTTGGCACCGCGCTACGGAAGCTGCATGTGCCATTACCACGAGGTCAGAAAATGAGAGAGCCAGCCATTCAGAAGCTCCAAATATACTATCAGATTGCCATAACAAGCAACAGGGGGAGTGTACGGGATATGTACACTGCAGTATGGGCTTCGTACTTCCACTCATGCTCTACTGACAATGCCGGCAGCCACAAGTTTTGCCCTGCAGGAACAGAGTCGTGGTGCAAACATCAACGCGCTGAAGCACTTGGTGAACCTGCACCACGCCACACACCTCTCCTGACAAAAGCACAGGGATTGGCTGTTTTGCCCATTTATAAGCGGCTAACGGATGAGAAGCTCCTTGCTCGATGCATCAAAGGGAAAACCCAGAACGCATAGGAATCCCTGAACAGCAAAATTTGGCTACTTTGCCACAAGACTAAGTCTGTCTCCCGAACGGTTGTCGAGACTGCCGCAGCTATGGCAATCCTGTGGTTCAACAAGGGTCATGCTACTTTCGAGCACATCCTGGAAGAGCTCAACATACTGCCATCTAGAGATCTAGTTACTTTCAGTGATTCCCGCGATGCGAGGCGCATCAAGAGAATGTCCAAGCGTCTGACAGCAGAAGCAAGGGCCCACCGTCGTCGTGGAGTGAAAAGGGCACGGCTAGAAAAGAGTGCTCGCAAGGACCGTGAGGGCACAACCTATGCTGCAGGACAGTTCTAGTAACTTGCAGTGCTTTTCAAAGTTCTGTTGAACATTATGGCCAAAGATTATGCATTTCTAACAACTCTGTGATAAAAAAAAAAACGGTTTCAAACTTTCAAATGCGTTTTTCTCCTTTTGCAGTTTTGTGTGATCTGTGCTTCTTATACACGCTAGTTCGTATACTTAGAATTGTCATACCTCTATGAAATTTTGCACATAGCATGATGAAGGCCCATAGAGTACAAGTATCTATTCAGATTGTCAGTGCTGCTTGATTATGTTTTTCAAAAATTACATAACATTGAAAGCCCTTGGCAACTAGAGCCATAGTAAATTTTTCTATTTTATTATTGTATTTCACCTTTTTACACACAAAATTTATATAGTTTTTTGCACTCTACAGTTCCAAAGAATCATAGTCAGCTATATCTGCATGCTTTATCTCAAATATTTATAGGTCAGAATTGTTGCATAACAATGGCCATAATTTTGCAGTATCTGACCTGCAGAAAAAAACCAAGCAATCTACATGAAAATAAATGATATAGTTGAAAAGAGGAGAAAAAACTCTATTAGCATGCCAATTTGTGTTAAATTCAGACTCTTACTAAAGAAAATCGTTTTTCGAGTAGCATCTCCCCTTAAGGCATTTACGATATAATTTCAGCCTTACCAGACACAAAGCTACAAATTACTGTAAAAAACTTGCAAACAAAACTTTTGCTGTCAGGGGTCCTTTAAAATTTAAATTTTTTTACGCTGAGCGTCACACACAGCATGCTTACGCATCCACCCACGACTCTCGTTTCATCTGCGTTCCTTCCACGACAACGCAGCTGTCCTTTGTCCACCCTGGTCCACGTCAACCTTCTGGCGCTTATCCTTCGTTAAAGGGATACTGAACGAAATTTCTGCCGCCAAGATTTTCAGCCCCATTGAAAGGTCAGGTGCTGAAATCGATAGACGCAATTTTCATTTCAGGCAGAAAGCAGAAAAATATGACGAATTCAATGAGTTTTCTCAAACTGCCGCATCCAGCAGCCACGCTCGGGACAAGAGGAGGTGACATCTGGCGACATTACACATGCCGGAAACGTGCATGCCAGCAATGCAGGCCCTGTCGCCTGCATGTCTCAACCCACTACGCTACCATTACAGTTTCCAGAACCCCTACGAATGGCACTAGAAATGAACAACACTTCTGGCTTGGATAAAAGCATCAGCGCTTTTGTGAAAGGAGGAAGAGTGGGATGAAAGAGGAGGTGAGTACAGGAACACGTAGCCCTTGCATGTGCCTCGGTGAGTGTGATGTCACGACTCACGCCTGCATGCGGCCGCAGCGCTCGGACAAACCACCAAAAATGCAGCTAACAGTTAAAAAATACTCCAAATAAACTTTCTTTATCGGAACAGTCACGTCTTCCAAATAGAATTTCAATGCCTTCATCAGTTATTTTTTTTAATTTCCGTTCAGTAGTTCTTTAACAATGCCAGCCTATTCCTGTGATAATCACCCGCTCTATAACATAAGCATAGGAATATCAAAGGCTCATCTTCTGACCTCTTCCTGGGGCGTCTTGCGTCCTGCCTGCTTGAGCAGGTTGTTGTACGTGATCTCCTGGATCTTGGCCTGGGACTCCGGGTCCAGATCCTCGAATGGCTTGGTTGGGTCGATGGCACGGATGTTGATCTTCGGCTCGTTGACAAGCAGACGCTCCCACCACAGCTCAGTGGCCTTCTCCAGGTTGATCTGGATGCCGATAGGGGTCGCTTATAACAACACCAAACAATATAACCCCAACAAAATATAATTGATAAAGTGTACAGGACAACAACCATTGCCACAACTCCATTGGTAGAGCACTGTACATGTTAATTGAAAGTTATGCGTTGGGTCTCCGCTGGTGGCAAGTCGTCTTTTTGTGCAGTTTAATTGATTCCCTTTTAAATTATAGTTACTACAAATATTGTTCTTTATACTTTCATAAAATTTGGTAGTCGATTGGTTCTCATAAGGTTTACCCCTTTGATATTCAAAGAGCTCGAACATTTGCCCATGTCTAAATTTGAAAAAGAGAAATCCTAGAGCGATGTGTCTCCCATTACTCCCATTAATCATGCTTACCAGTACGTGGTCTCCTGGCACAAGAGTCCAGATGGACTCGTCGAGCTTGATGCGAAAGTGCAAGTCATCGTCCACGTGCACGGACCACGTTTTCGTTGTCAGGTCTAGCAACTCCACCTTCAGGTGGTTGGTGCCGATGGTCACGCGGACCTGGTTACGCGACGTCACGTCCGGAGCGACCTACAGAAAGCCACGAGTGCCCGTCCCAAGTTTAAAAAAAAAAAAAAAAAAAAAAAAAAAAAAAAAAAAGAGAGAGAGAGAGAGAGAGAGAGAGAGAGAGAGAGAGAGGCGAGAAACTCTGACAATGCAGTTATAAAGTACGGAGTGTGGGTTTTTATGCGGACTCCATATGCAATAGCACATAGCTTATCTAAAAAAATGTACAGTAGTCTACCTTGTGTTGAAAAGCTTGACTAGACTGAGTCTTTGAAGGCTGAAAATTGCAAGCCAAACCATACTCATTCCCCCCCCCCCCCCCCCCCCCCCCCAGCTTTTTATTACAAAATCAAGAAATATTTTCCACCCTAATCTAACGTCTCACTTCACCCTTCATTTATCCTTCTAGACATGTTCCACTGTAAAACACAACGTAAGCTTGCAACAATTATTTCACCCCTTTCCCAGATCACAGATTCTGGCCACTTTACTCATCTCCAGCATCAATATCAGTGGACTTATAATAGCTAGAGCTACAATATATTTTGCTGTATAAAGCTTTATAAGCAGGATAGGCAACACTGAGAGTAAATTTGTTAATTATGGCTCCAATGTCTGACCTCATATGTTTTTATCATTTTTGTGCAAACCCTGGGCTTCATTGTACTTAAGGGGCCTTGCAACACTTCTTCAAATAGCCAAAGAATGAATTTGCTAAAAGAGTTTATTGCCTCAATATTCACCATCGCAAAAAGTTTTTGGAATAAGTACAGTACGAGCGAATTTAAAAAGATATGTCGCATACTGAAGCTGCACTCGCTCTTCTCTCGTCCCGAGCGCTGGAAGCTGAACAGGAAGAGATGGCATGGGTAAAGGAAATATGTCACGTGCGCCTCGTGATATTCAACATTTTTTGTTCTTTCTCCCTCTCTCTTTTTTTCCCTTTTGAATAGGCGGCTTTTTAGTGTGATCAAGCGCTCAAGGGTGGACAAGTTGCGGCATTCCGCGGCGGTCCCAGTAATGATTGAACAAGCCATGCTCAAATTTGCCAATGCTTGATGCAATGGCTGTGACGAGTGCTTTTCGATCTAGTATCGTCATTTGTCAAAAGAAGAGAAAGCAATTTTCAGCTTACTTAAAGAATTGAGAATTCCAGGCTGCGTGCTGCGCTACATTTGGCTCGTGTGTTCTCAGGAGCCTCTGTTCCTCTTGAACACAAACAGGTGTGAACATTACTCATTCGATATCCACATGTGGTGGGCTGAACCTGCCTCTGTTCTGCGACAAGTTACATCAGCATCTTTAGCTGTGTAATTCGGCTAGCTGGCTTGATGTGCAAAAGGTGCAGTGACTGTCCTTTAGTATGTTTGCACTGCTGTGTTCTGTCATTTGTTCTTGGAACGCCTAGGACTGCATTCTTCTCCATGCCTAAATTTCGCTGAGTGCTATCTCTGGTCATTTGTTTAACAGGCGGGTAAGATCCCCGAGGAAATCTTTTCATTTTTGAAGTTGTTGCTACACAAACTAAATGCTGCACCTTTCTATTTACACATAGTTTACTAAACTACATTGTTTATATAGTCACATATCTCTAATTACTTTTGGGGATCTACTAAACCATCAGCATGTTTCAATTTTAAGCAGCAGTTCAAAGAGTTTAGCCATTCTACACCTGGTTACAAACTACCAAAAGATGACAGCTCCACTCCCAACCATCGCCCTTCGCGTAAATGCTCCACGTAAAAGCACTTGGTCATTTTCGTTTTGTCAAGCACTTTTTGAATGTTCCACAGTTGACTTTCACATGCAGACACGTTTGTGTTGCTGGCTTATGGGTCGCAAAGTTGAACGTCTTGGTGGTTATTGTAAACCTAGGAAATTCTGACATTGCTACTCAGCCAAATCTAAAGTAACGTAAGCAGTAACAATGAACCTCATATGCGCAGCATTTACATTAGCTGAGAAAAGTATTCATGGTTCTAGCAGAAACTGGCTATACTTGGCGACAACTTTTCTTGTCAGCACTGTGGATGCTAGAGAACACACGCTAGCGTGGGTGCCAAGAAATACTACCCATTTTTCTTTCGCAATTTTCAGTTACATAGCTCGAACAAACATTTCTTCGTTATAAAAATTCTTTGTTATAAAAAAAATTCGTTATAAACACCCTCTTTTTTTTGACATTTTTTTTTGCACTCGCACAAGTAAGGTTAGTGTGCTTCACTTGTCACTCATTAGTATCCACATACTGCATTGCCGTATGGCTCGTAAATGCTGTTTCCACAGATCTGTGGCAAGATCGGGAATTGGCACATGGCACTCCACTCCAATTAACCACCACCACGAATTATCCACTCAAACTTACATTGGAAAATAAGAGATCACCTGAAATCTTTCAAGTTAAGTGAAATTTCCAAATAACCGAGTTCGAACTAATGAGGTTCTACTGTATCCAACTTTCTGTTCTCAAGCTTCATACCTTGACTCGGACGTCGATGTCGTGGATACTCTGGCTCCAGCAGTAGTTGTCGCGCATGGCGCCATTGTAGCTCTCGGGGTGGCTTTGGAACTTGGCCTGGACGCTGTGAATAAACCGCGAGTGCTTTGAGCATCCACCACTAAGCTCTGTCTCAACGCTCACCCATCGGCAGCACACAAAGGAGTGGCTGCTTAACCACTCCGTCTTTAAAGACGAGAATTCCTTTCTGCCTTCAGTACCCTTCCTACAGGCGATACATCCTCTCCCCAGCACTGATTTGTTTGCTAAACATGCGGACATTGTCAGCGCCCAGTGTCAAGCCTATCAGCATTTCACGTTTTTAACTACACGCTGTTTTCTCCACTTGTGCAGTTGGAAACGCACGAAACAAGGTGAAATCAGTAGATGGCACATGATAGGCATGCCAGACAAGCAGAACAAGCTTGCGAAGATAAGACAACAACAGGGTGAGAGACAATTTGCAATTGATATCCCTCATACACAGACCAATCTGGAGCTCATTTCTCCATGATGTCATGCGAACAGATTGCCAGCATCGCGACTTGTGCTGAAGGAAAACTCCAGGGAACAATAATGTGCTCATCCTTTGTATTCTTGTACGTAGCTTGAGGCCCTTTGACTCTTTGACGCACGTTGTACACGACGTACAACACTTGTCTTTAATAGTCGTGCCAGCTAGTGGCTAGGACAGAGAGAGATACAGAGAGGTTTAGATGAATAGCCTCATACATGCGCCTTCATTTAACTCCATTTGGCAGTGTAATTTTGCTTATGATCTCCTTCCCGAAGGCACTACCGCGTTGACGAGTCGTTAAACATGCTGTTTTTTCCAGAGCCACATTAAAAGTATGACTTTTCTTTCCTGAACATGGACATAACCAAATACGAAACTGCGCTACATATGCCTAGCTTCATATTCAAGTTTACCTGAATACTCTTGCCAAATAGAGCTTGAAGGGACCAAGCAGACATCTTCCATATACTAACTGGAATTCCATTGACTGGGAGATGAACAGAGGTTTAAAATTAAAGAATTAAACCACACGTTCGAGGCAGTTCCATTTAAACAGCAATCTGCTTAAAATATTTCCGTTTGCTGGGAGTCTTCTGTATCTATGCAATGAAAAATTAATGACTCCAGGGTAAATATATATTGAATTACAATTACCATCGGTTACTGTCAAACGCAGGAAGCTACATATGAAATCATTTTTGCTGAGAATACGGGGTGGCTTCAACTAAAAAGTAAATTTCATGAATTTGCAGACAGATCTTCACAGCGGCCCTGAAAGGGTTGGGAGACACTTGATTAAACGGGCACTGACACAAAATTTCGCGGCCTAGATAGCCTGCGGGGTCGATTCCTGTGAACATTTGTACATCATCTGTAAAATATCAACAGCAAATACAGCTTGGAACGCATCTTTTAATTAATTTTGAAGCTTGCGTGCGCGCTCGACTTCATTGTGCCATTAACACCTTCGAAGGGGACCTTTTGTTCGAACGTTGGATGAGCATACACCTTCAAAACTTCCGTCGCTAACGTTGTCGCCATAACTGATTGCGTCAAGAACGATCGTAGTTTCGTCCGCAGCGGTAGTGGCAACAACCACACACGCTGTAGAAGACAGTCCGTGCGCTGGTCGCACGGGTACTTCTGAAGCTTCGAGCACGCAGCTCTCGATCGGTCTTCGTTCGGCGGTTTCAGTACTAAAGACCCTATCACACGCCGCGATTAGGAAAAGTGTTTGGAACATTCGAATTTTGGCTCAATGGACACAGTGAAATTCAGCTGGGGAATTTCACGAATTTGTATCTGCCGTATAAAAAAATTTCAAGTCCTGTAAAAGGCTAGCAACCAGGCATCAAATTTTTTTTACACCCTTCTAAACAAGAACACGGATTTATGCAGAAGACTGGGATGACCCCATTTGGTGAATATCACAGTGATACGTACCTGCAGCAACGATCTATTTCGAAAAGCTATATTTGCACCCCCCTAATGCCCCTCCCCGGTCCTTCTCGTTCGTGAAGTGACAAGGAGTGCCATGCTCCACCTAAACTCTTTCATTACCCTGTCTACTCAAATCGATCACCGGTGATCGACGCTTTGGATCGTCAATTTTAGTACGTTAAATTTGTTTCTCGTGCACCCAGCACTTTTTAGTAGTAAGTTCAGCCACTCAGCCTTAAGAACCAATTTATATTTCCCATTTGGGCGACGTAGTAATTTTTGACAGACTTTTGTGCAAACCAATGTGTGAGTATTGTTGAAAAACTGCACTAGGATGTAGAACTTGACAAAAATGTGTGCTCCTCGTGATTATACTCCAATAACATTGAAGTTCTGTAATGAAAGGAACCTTTGCAAGACAAATATCCAATGAAAGTGTCAGCTTCCCAATCATATAGTGTTTGGCAATAATATATGCCAGAAATTTACGCCAGCTATTCAGTAGACAGCTGTTGCTAAGAGTGCAGAAAAACTTATTTCGCAAAAAATATTTACAATGGTACGCGGCATGTTTAAAGTGTTGACATGGACACCTCAGCCAGTTTCCAGCAGCTTTCCTTTTGCTTGTGTCGTTATATGAGACACAGGGTCGCATACAATGTCACTAGTCGCTTCTACGGCATAGTCCTCACGCGGGTATGGATGCGCACCACCTCTGCAAAACACATGCGCCACTCCAAACTGTCTTGCCTTCCCGCCTGAATTGAGTGAGGACGAGCTTAGAGTTCAAGGATGACAGCACCTCAGCCTCAAATTTTATGGAGACGATGTTTTGCGTCAGCCTAAGACATCCACAGCTGTTCATAGGTTCGTTTTGTTTACGGCCTCAAGTTGTCGCCGCAACACGTGCGTATCTGCTGACCTTTATGCACAATATTTTAGCTACTCTAGTTACACGTGAGGTCCACACCTTGCTGGGGCGCGATGGGCTGACGTACGGCTGCAGAGCTCCTCCTCACGACAAGAAGGCCACCGGAGTGCATCTCAGGTGTCACTACGGAGCAGCGCGAAACGTTTTGGAACTGCGCGCGATATTGTTATTTTTGTAATACGATGTGCAAAATGCTAAGAGGTGACGCTAGACGAAATAGCGAAGTTCATTAGACATCAGATTATAGAGGGATTATTCACATCACGGGCTGGAACACCTGGACGTTCTTATTCCAAGAAAACAAACATTTTTTAAAAAATTTGTACGAGTTCACTTGTGTCTCACGAAAAACCAGGCAACGCTTCAACGCATGGCTCGAGCAATGAAGCAGCACCTCGGTTCAGACTTTGTTTGCCTGTGAATAAAAACTTTATGTGCTTCAGTTATTATTTATATCCAGTTCCTGGGTCATTTTTTTTTCTTCAAAATGTATAACTTGAATTTTCTTTGTCTGCAATATTTTTGCACATATAGTGTTTTTTTTTTGCCCTGTTTACCAGCTGGCAACCAAAAATTACACACTTTTCTACATTTTTATTCAATCCGAAATATTTTAGTTGCTCTGCAAAATATATTCTTTGGAAAGAGCATTTCATTGTGCGCAATTCGGTATGCTGCAATGCGTGCTGAATTACCTTACGAAATGGCAAAAACGATCTTCTAGAGACATGTGAAAAATAACCATCTTTGCACGGTAATGCAAGAGCTAAGTAGAACCAACTTTACCGATTTTTCTTTTCTGCCCTGCAAAAACAGCGCCTTGGCCCTGTGGCGATGCGGTTTCAACCATGCAGTTGTTGCATATTTGATTTCCTTAAGTGCCCCCCAACTCTTGCACTTTCTCAGTGTGCTGCTCTGACATCAGCAATGCACTGAGGAAGCCTTGCTCGGTTGTTGGTTACGTGCCTAATATAAACACTGACGTTGTGTCGAGTTGCCGAAATGGGCGTAGCCATGAGAACAAGCTACACTCACACCTCTATGTACTAGAGAAATGTAGGAAGGCCAAACGAAAGTCGAAAGCCAACCCTAGCAGGTTGTTTTATACCCTATAACTTTAGTATTACAGCCTTTAATCGTAAGGTTCTAGTGACAGCACGTTCACATTTTAGAAGTGTGCAGTTGTCTTTTCACTTACGGATCATAATCGCGGTCATCGTTTTCATCGCCAGCCTTTGGAGCACTGACGGTGGGTCCATCGGCTTTGTCATCTTTCGTGGCCTCGACATTGTCAGCATCACCTTTCTGCGAGCACTGGGACTTCGACTTTGCAGCCGCGGGGACGGTCTCCACTGGTTCCGCCGCCACGCTTTCGCTCGTTGTCGATTCGATCATATCGTCCGAGGTGGTGGTCTCGACTTCAACTTCGGCGGCGATTGGAACCGGCTCTGCAAACGCAACGAGAGAGACAACGCTTGATGCTGAACATCAGAACTTGACACTTGAGCATGAAGGACAAGGATAGAGACAAGAAAAAGACAAGATGAGGGCCTCATTATTAAAGCCTTTCACATTAAAAGAATGAGACCGGCTTGCACCAGCAGGCTGTCAATACCTTTGACAGAAAGCGTCATTACTGCCGCCTTAACATGTGCATTGATTCCGAGTAGTTTGCCTTGGTTTGAGAGTTCTTCGAATATTTCCTGCTTTTATTAGGCGAACCCCTTTATAAGAGACACTGATGTAACAGAACAATGAATGAAAGACAAGGAAGTGTGCCCCATTGAAATGGGAGTTGATAAGAAGTGCATGCGTGATACCTTTCTTATAAGAGACACCTCATACAAGGGACTAGAATATTGCATGCCTCTTTTCAAGGGGTTCAACTGTATCCTTTCTTTACTGATATTTCATACGATGTGATGTTTACAGCCGACTTTGTTTTGCAATTGCTTATGCGTTTCATTTGGGAAAATAGAAATGCAGTGGTGAGTAGACAATTGTCTAGTCTTCTCATATATTCGTCCTTGTTCCTTCTTGCACGAATCTTTTATTATGCTACCACACCAACTCGCCAAGCTGTCAATCTTCTCCTATGGTTGCCAGAACCGGTTTGAACAGCACTGGTTGCGAACAATGTTCCCAATTGAGGTAAAGTATCATCGGTTTTGTGGAAGGGGAAAAGTGGAATGAAAGGAGAGGTGGAGAAAAGGAAGAGGAAGACGGGAACTTGTGCACCCTGCACTTGCCTCGGCAAATTTGACTTCACGGCTCCCGCACACGTGCAGCCACCGTGTGCTAACAATCTATCAGAAATACAGCAAACTATTCAAAAATATGGGAAAGTAACTCTGTTTATCAGAACAGTCGCATCTTCCGAGTAGAATTACGAACTTTCATCGTTTTTTTCGATTTTTCTCGAGTATCCCTTAAACGTGCACCTGTGTCGATGCGCACGAATGTTGTTGCAGTTAGGAAGAGTGGTGGGCGAGTTGAAACAATGCACGTTCATAAAAAATCAGTGTAGAGAAGATGGAGCACGATACGAGGACACGATACGAGCACTGCCTAACAACTGAAGTTTATCGAAACGAAACAGAAACGCAACAAAAGCTAACACCATGCGATATGTGTGGGCTGGTTTTCTCCACGTTTTTGTTTCAATAAACTCGAGTTGTTACACAGTGATCGTACTGAGGCCGCCTCAATTCGTGCTTCCCCTTTTTTGGGCTGATTTCTTACAAACATGGACGATTTTGCATATCGCCTCTCATGAATTCAACTCGCGCCTTCGAGCATTGCAGCTTTTGCCTCTCCTCAGCTGTTGTTGGGGGTCATCGAGTGAGATACATTTATGTTCCCTTGTGTAAGCCGACACTATGATAGCTAACACGCTGGATCACAGCTTCATGCATTGTGCGTAGAACAGCAAGACAGGAAATACTGTCGACCAACCGTCGGTTTGTGTAACGACCCGTGCAGCAGCGTCTTTCTTCTTTTGTGCTTCATCTGCAAGCTTGTGGTAAGACTCAAAAGCCTGCAAACAGGAGGAAGCAGGTTATCGATGCGATGCACGAGACGTTATAGTCCTCGCTACCCCCCCCCCCCCCCCCCCGACAGAATGAAGATAAAAACGGCTTATCTTGAACACCAAAGCAAGATGCTGCACCAGTTCTGTCCACAATGCCCTCCAACCAGCAATATTGGTGTCATTTCGTTTTCTTTTTTTTTTTTCACCTTTGGTACAGACGTCTATCTGTTCGCTTTTCATGATGCAAGCACTCATATTCAAAACAGGACAAATTTCTTATAAAGACTGGTCCACTTTTACACTGTCTGAAGGCAAACTATTTCAGGTGGTACAAACTAAAATTTCATCACAGTTCACCTTTCAACGGAAGAACCGCACGCATAGGTCAACCCTCAGACATCCTAATATTACAGCGCAAAAGCAGCAAACAGTGCAGCAAGGAAAAATGGCCCAATGCAACCACTACTCAGTATTTTATTTTTGTTTTGATGCTTTATCAAATATGCAGTAGTAATAATTCGCCCCATGACTAGAGGCTACAGTTCTTGGTTACTTCCCAAAAGAGTATGTTTAATTTATCATTTAAAGGGGCACTACCAAGAAAAATTATTTTTTTGCGTACTAGTAAAGTACAATTCCACAATCCCAAAAACGCCACTCTTACCGCGAGAAGTAGATGAGCGAATGCGTGAAAACAAAATCAGCGTGGAGACACCACCTCGAGATTTCCGTGCCTAACACCGTGGCGTCATTAATTTCGACAGCATCTACTAGGTCCCACATAGTTCTTGACAAGTAAAAATGAAGTACAGTGTCACATGTGGAGGAAGCATAGACCTAACATACAGTTTCACAATATTCCATTGAGCCAGTATCGCACAAATACAGCAAATACATTTTGAAATCAGTGACTGCACATGTGGAGATGATGCGAAACTTAGGAATGAAGTGTGGCAGCTTGGGCTAGTTGGTATGGCATGACGATAGTTATAGCGCGAGAACAAAACGACGACACAGAGACAAGAAGGACACGAAAGACACGAGCGCTAACTTCCAACTGAGTTTATTGCGCAGAGCACGAAAATATATAGAGGAGACAATGACCATGGCACAAGAGCAGAACATGAGTAAGAAAAACCAAAAACAAACAACACAAATACAAAGGCACTGAAAAACAGCAAAGAAAAACCTAGAAGAAACCGAACCAGAAAGGTAAAGCTACCTGCCCACACCGAATCCTTCGAGGAACCTGCGTTCCTTCTCGGACTAAGCCACGGAGGGCTTGCTAATCCAATGTACCTGTTCGCGTTACCTGCCCGCACCGAATCCTTCGAGGAACCTGACTTGCACTTGGATTTTCTCCCCTTTATTAAATTTATGATGACTAAACTTATAACATTAGCGTTATCAGAGTACTATTATAAATCTAAACCAAGCCATTTTTACATTTCAGTGTCCCTTTAAAATATCGCAGTGATAACTAACTTTGCAGGCTACAGGACACAGCCACAGATTCCCAGGTTTCGCAAACTTTTTCGAACCTTACAGTTCTCCTACTTCCATTTTTGAACAAACGAAAGAGAATGTATCAAAATTAAACTTACAGCTCTCACGATTCGCCTTGCGACGCCAGGATTGAATCCAAGTTTGTCCGACGGGGAGGACTTGATGTGGTAGAAGTCAGTGCTGAAAGAAAATATCAATGCAGTTCTGAGCAGCAATCGAGTGCACACCCAGCGAAGTGGCACACATCAAACAAACCGAGCTCCGCAGGGACTTTAAACAGCCTCTGAAAATACAACGAACGATTCAATGGCGAATTTCACAGCGCGCGAACACAGGAAGAAAAAGGGACAGCAGAAAAGAGCAGACTTCCAACTGATGCTTATGTTACCGAATGGCACAACATACACGAACAGATGAGGATAAAGACAATCCTAATCAATGCATCAGCAGTCAAACCACCATACGTGCTCACGTTTGTCCTACAGCCCGGCAAGTTATCACGCTCAAACTATGGCATCGATAGCGTGCTTATGCAGCTGTCGCCTAATTTGTGTAAGTACGTGCCCTGCTTCTGGGTGACATGCTCCAGATAACCTGCAAGATCACAGAAGTGGAAAAAATAAACAAACTAGGCGAACACTGCTCTAAGCACTGTCATGGTTGGAACGCAATTACTTGGCTGGGCTGCAGGGCAAACGTGATCGCCACGCAGAATGCTCTGATTCGTTTCTTGTTGGGACCCCGACATTTATACTTTGCACTCGTCGGGTCAACGCTGTCTATGGTAAAAAGCTTTAGCGCTCTCGCGTTGAAATTGCCACTCTTCTCGCCGTTCCTGGGTAGAAATAAACTGCCAGTCACCTGTGGCACATACCCGCACACCACAGGTACGACCGCTAAACCCCCTCGGTGGGTGCGGATCAGCACGGATATTTTTCTGACGTCTACTACGCAAGACCATCTGAAAGGGGGGTTAGCAGACGGCAACACAGTGAATCGGCGCAGCTCAGCAAGCAACCCGTCGATCAGGAATGCTGTTCCGAATAGGCTAACAAAGACGACACACTCGATCTACACTTGGCAACACCGAAGTCGAGTTGCCACTGGAATGCTAACCACAGAACTGTCGACTCAGCTGGTTAACGCGTGAGCGTAAAGAATGCGGCAACTTTGAAACGCCGGGGTGCCAAGATTTGTTTTGGCAGCCGATCGGCGCGAAGTAAACGGGCTGCGTAGGCTAGCTCGTTACTCACCGGCGGTACAGGAAATCGAAGATGGCGTCGAGGAAGGGATATATCTGTCCTTCGTTTGACAAGATGCCCATGAGGGCAGCGTCGTAAATGCCTCGCCGAGAGGCATCCATCGCTGGCAAGCGCTCGACCACTTCGTTTTTAATCAAACGCCATCGCCCGATGCTGCGACCGGAAGCGGAAGCGTGAAGACTTGCTGACGATAGCGTTCGCACTTTCTCAAAAAGCACTACCATAGCCTCCTAGATTTCTCTTGCCTGTCGGATTATGGGCCGTCACTTAAAAAGCGGTGGTCGTCAAAACTATGGTGGTGGCGTCACCTAAGTAGGGGTGTCTTCAAATAAGTATTTACGTTTTTAGAACTTATATGCAACAAAAATAACGTAAAAAAGTTTTAAAAAGGCGTAAACGTAAATATAATTACCCCACGTAAGTGACGCCGTTATAAACAACAGACGTTTTGCGCTCATTTAGCAGCCTCTGAAATTAGAAGCGAACGCCTGAATTGCCAATTTCAAAGGCAAAGTACAAAGACCCTTACCCCTACGTAGGTAGCGCCGCCATAGATGACGGGTGTTTCGCGCTCGTTCAGCAGGCAAGGGAAATCTAGGAGGCGATGGCACTACATCGCCCCACAACATAAAGTTTCATCCCACCATAAAAAGCATAGCCTGCCGAATGTGTAGTTTTTGCACGAAGAAAACCATAGTAATTTTTCAGAAGTCTGATGTCGATCTTGAAAGATAATGCACTTCCGAGGAATACAGTGATTTATGAACGGGCTGCAATGGCGATGCAGGGCGTCGAAGCAATGCCGAATTTATGCCGCATTAATGACAAAGCTGTGGTACATTCTAACAAAGCTGTGCTTATCTGTTCGCCAGTCTCTATGTCACACAGGGCAAGTGACTGTCAAAAATAATAACAATAACCTAGTTGTGCTCGGACAATGCTGGCAGTCAAAAGCTATACTCTCTGCTCTGAAGTCGTAGACCATGGAACTACACTTTACCGGCAACATAAAATAAAATAATACTAATTAAATGATGTCACCTTGTGCAACATCTAAAAAAACTGAGTTCTCCTGACCTCCTATCGCCAGTGAACTTTATGTATGAAACATGTAAGAGAAATGCTGATGTCGGCGTCATTTGTTGCGAGCGGAAGGTCGAGAAAGATGCTAATGAATGAAGAAAAGCTTCGGTTAGACTGAGGATTGATTGAAGTCCAGTCGTCAAGGCTTAGTCTGGCCTCCAGTGTGACGGCCAGACTAAGCCTTGCATAGAGTTAATATACGAACTATTAACTCTATGAAACTTTGACTTGGGCGAATTGGTACATACTTGGATAATAGGCTTCAGCGCGAATTAGACGAAGACAAAGAAGACACACAGAACACAGACGAACTTTGGCACGAGCATCACTCGATGGACCAGTAATTTCAGTACTTCCCGAGTTAGAATACTTATCAGGGGTTAGATATAGGAAATTCGCTATTTTTACAGATAGTTTAGAAAATATCACACAATGGACAGATTATCAGCACCTCAAATTTTCATGGAAAGCCCAGTGGAGTCCGTCAAAAAAACTTGAAATTATAATCTCCAGATTCAGGTGCCATGTCGCCCCATTAAATTTTTATTTACACAGAGCTGGTCTGATACTTTCCCCCCTTTGTCCGTTCTTCGAAGAATAAGAAACTATTGAACATTATTTTGGCTCATGTCGTAACTATGCATTAATTAGGAAACGACTTTTAGATATTCCATTTGCGAAGCTAGGTTTAAATTTAACCAGAGAAAATGTTCTAAGTTTTGGTGCCTCTGTTTTGGGAAATTGCCACAGGGATGCATTCGATGCGGTGTGTAATTTTATTCAGGACTCTAAACGTTTTTCAACATAAAGCCCACGTTAACAGATACTCAAAAAAAAAAAAACGGGTCGAAAAGTAATTTTCCATTCTGGATAAATCCGTGACATACCAAATTAATCGGGTTTGGCAAAACCAGCTGTCTGGTCGGCTCTCAAAATCAAGTTGTAGCTATTAGTGTCTACTTTGTTGTTGATTCTTTTTTCTCACTATCTAAATCTTTGGTTTCTTTCTTTTTTTTAACATACTGTCTTCACTATACAACTCCCCCCCCCCCCTTTTTTTTTCGTTGTAAGCAACAATGCAGTTACCGTCCATATGACACTATATGTTCTCTTGGCCAATCCCCCAGAGTGGGTACGAGCCATGGATTAGAGGATACAAACAAACAAACAGACGAGCGCTGGTGTGATGATGATGATGATGATGATGGCCCTTGTTACTCTGGCGCACACCCACAAAGGGGGTTCGCCCAAGAACCGGGCAGCAGGATCTTTAAGTAAAAGGCTTATGGTTTTACAAACACGAAGTAATTTTGGACTAAAGTATTATATAGAAAGAAAACCAAAAAATCGAAAAAGAAGTATATCTGACCCGGGATCGATGAAGGCTATCAGATGCGATTTGAGACAGAGGTAATGGTGGGTCTAAAACGAATCTTATATATTTACAAAAAGGCACTTTAACATGGCTGGTCTGCGTGCAGGGCTCGTTTGTGATCTATACTCTATGGAGCCTTGTTGACAGCGATGCTTGACAATGGCGTACAACCGAAGTTTTTAGTAGATCAGTGAAGGGCCAGCTGGGGTACGTCACATATTTACAATTAAGTATGTAAATAGGTGCTAATTCAATTTTTTTGTTTATGCGAAGCAACGATTATGGTTAATTCAAAGCAGGGGTGTCTCGAGGATTTTTTTTTTATCTGGCAGCACCCATTCCAACGGAATTCCGTCGGGGAGAAGGTAGGCTGGGAACTTAATTATATGCACTGTGTTTCGAATGCGTTTATTCTTAAGGGTAAGGGAGCTAAAGAAGCGCAGGCTGGAATATTTGGGACGCAGCTGCGCCTATGAGAGGCCAAACTTACCTTCGTTGACTGCTTCTCCACACTATTAACGTATGCTCGCAACCTTCCCACGCCTTTAATTAAGAATGCCTGAACACACACACACACACACACACACACACACACACACACACACACACACACACACACACACACACACACACACACACACACACACACACACACACACACACACACACACACACACAAGCTGCTCAGTTTGATAACGATTTCAGCAGGCATGAAAGCTGTGTGACAAACATGGCGGTATTCCAGGTGCTTCCAGTCCCAAAATGCAGTTGCTTTCTCAGTGCTTTACAAACAACCATTGTGGAATACCAGGCCACACTATGCGATGGTTACTGGGACACAGCAAAAGTCCGAATTCAAAGCAGCGAGATTGCATCAGAGTCCTCAATTATACACTTACTCGCTGATCAGTACCCGACTTTACAATCATAACTTGGAACAGGTAGAAGAGAAATGGACGCTTCCCCACAAGGCATTGCACAGGACAAGCAAGGCATTGTGTTCAACCTGCGACTCTTGCTTTACGATTAGATTATTGAACACTGGGCACTGCTTTGAAAGACGTCGACAAATAGTACATCTTGTCTAAGCCCCCCCCCCCCCCCTTCATTATGCTTGTTTGGGCAAGTTGGTGATACATGGTTGTTTTGAAATGAGAGCACACTACATAGACGCGGACAGAAAGCGCTTGTCTCTGTCTGTCTCAAGCGTCTTAGTAGCGCGCTCTCATTTTAAAACCACCTTCAATCTTGCTATGAAGACAAGCCCACTTGTCAAAATGGCCCCACCAACACCCAGTGTTAAATATACATCTCGGAGCCTCCGTATTCTGGGCTTCGTTTGAATTTGCAACTCTTGAATGTGCAGTCGTAGTTTAGCAATGCATCGACCTGATATTTGACGGACTATGCCATTAACTGCTCTTATAAAGGGCAGCTCTGTTTGGCACCTTGACTGGTACTGCAACCGCGATTGTGCAGAGAAGTCCTCGACCAGTTGAACACAATATAGAGCACTAGTTTTATTTGAGCGAATTGCAGCAACCACAATTTTCTTACTTTTGGAACAAACAATGGAAACCATCGCAACAGCACAAGCCATTTGACGAAAAATACAGTTTGGGAAGCTGCAAGTGTAGCATGTATAATATAGAACAGAGACAGTCAAAACTGTTATCCGAGACCAGGTAGAAGCGTAGGCCTAGCTATAAAAATCAGCGACAGTCCGGGCCGAGCGTCTCGTGCTTAGCACTGACAATGTGTGTGCCGAGATTTGCATGACCCACTACAATCATCATTACATATTTCCCCCTCGCTGAAGATGGTGCCAAGTAAGTGTTCTAAGGTGTCGTGAGGACAAGTGGTTCGTGATATGGTTTGAGGCGATTCACATGTACGATTTCGCGGCCTCGGCGACGCAGGTCCACAGTGGCCGTGAGGGGTTCGATGAGGTAGTTAACAGCGGAAGTTTGTTCTATGACGCGATAAGGTCCATGGTACCTGCTGACAAACTTTGTAGAGGTACCAGGAGCAGCACTGGGGGGCACCCACAGCCAAACAAGAGAGTTGGGCGAAAATTGGTAGTTGGACCGTCCATCGTCGTGACGAAATTTCTGTAGCCCTTGTTCTTGTGTTGTAAGGGTGCGAGCTAATTGCCGACATTCTTCCGCATACCACGCGGCTTCGGAAACTGGTGTGCCTTCGGATGAGTCGGGTCGGTAGGGGAGAATGGTGTCAATTGGAGACGATGGTTCTCGACCATAAAGTAAAAAGAATGGAGAAAAGCCTGTCGTCGCTTGAGGTGCCGTGTTGTAAGCGTACGTTACGTAAGGAAGGATAAGATCCCAGTTGGTGTGGTCGGAGGCGACATACATAGAAAGCATGTCGCCAAGAGTACGGTTGAAACGCTCGGTCAAGCCATTTGTTTGTGGGCGATATGTGGTAGTACAGCGGTGAATTACATGGCATTCTGCAAGAAGTTCTCGAATAACATCCGCGAGAAAGACGCGGCCTCGGTCGCTCAAAAGTTCACGTGGAGCGCCATGACGCAGCACAAAACGTTGCAGCAGGAAAGACGCAACGTCACGTGCCGTCGCGGCTGGTAGAGCGGCCGTTTCTGCATATCTCGTGAGATGGTCGATCGCTACAATAATCCAGCGATTCCCAGCTGATGTATATGGTAGAGGACCATAAAGGTCTATTCCAACCCGGTCGAATGG